TGTGATACCAAAAAAGAGTTAATTGGAGAAGGGAATGCCGATAATGGCTCGTATCGTCCTCCTCCTTTCTTTATGAACATACCCAAACCTTAATATCAGATACACGTATGAAAGCTTACGAAACATTCAACAGTTCGTAGGAGAAGGGATGGTCGAATCAACACATCAGTGTAGCATGAATCATACTTTAGCACGAAAACATGCAGATAAGAATATAAAAAAGTAAAATAACAAAAGTACTGAACTCCGAGGAAAATTCTATACGGAAAGTCCCTAATCAAATGGCAAAATCAAATGATAAAACACATCAAACGAATGGACAACAACTGTCATATTCCTGACTTGGCACAGGCATTTTCAAATGTAGAAAATGGTGGATTGAACCTGGTTTTATAGCGCTAAACCTCTCACTTGTATGACAGCATCAAATTCAATTATATTTACACGATGCGTGAACAAAACAGACATAAAAGGTAAAATTGTCAAAATATGGGGTACAGCAGCCATCACTGTGTCACAATATCAATTAGAACAAAAACAAACAAATATTTAACAAAGAAGCACAAAAAGCATCTATCAAATTTAAATTTAAATGCACGCAATTTGGTCTTTAATACCAACAAATTTCACACCAAGAATATTCAATGTAAATCCTGCCTTTCGAGATTCAAGGAAGAATATTTCGTTTAAATATAAGATCACCTAATAGTTTTGCAAGGTGACAGACTGTTTAATTTGCAGTCATTGTTTGGAGTCTTTAAAGCTGGAATATTTACGACTCGAAACTTTATTCCTGTGTCGATGTGTTTAAATCTATACTCAGTGTATGTGCACTTTTCGTTTTTAGTTTTAATTCTTGTTTGTGTCATAGTTTAATTATTGATAACATAATACAAAGTTGTTGGTTTGAAAAATTGGTTAGGTTTTGGAATGTTTTGTCTCTCTTCGAAAAAATTATTTATGAGTCTCCGTGGATATTCACAGAATGACTTATGAAACAAATAAAACAAACAAAATAACTAATCAATAGTTTGGAAAAATATTCACAGTAGCCACATTTTGAGTTCACCATCGTTTCATCACTGAAAATAGTTAACACTTTGATATGATAAAGAAACAAATTGATGCAGGTGAGATTCAAATATACTATGCTATCTATATACCATCATCAGGTACGAAATTTCAGTCATTTTTCATCAATACTATCGAACCTGTTATGAAGTATGATCGCCAATTATGTTTCTTGTTTGTTTGAAATATATTTTGTCTTTTTATTGTAGTTATTCCATATGACAAAAAATATCGCTTTTAAGGTGGTACCTAACACTACAGGGAGATAACTCTGTAAAAATCAATTAAACGTTTTAATCACGTTGTATTGTTAAGGAAATATTAAGCTTCTCAGTGATCAAAATTAGTGTTTGTCAAACTGCTATATAACCAGTGAAATTTTTCTGATAAAGTGGTTGGTTCAAATTATTTGAAATTTTTATATTTTTGTCAAAGGGTCAAAGTAAACATTTTGTCAAAATTTTAGGAAAATTAAACGAGCCAAATTAATATTAGTCAAGGTGTTGGGTAACACCTTAAATGAGTATGAGCAAATATTGTATTCATAAATTTTCCATATTTAAAAAACATCGCTTTTATACAAGAAAAATACCGCACCCATATATTAAAATATCGCATTGTCATTTCATTATCCCTGACTATGAGCTAAAATAACATCGAATATGCATTTCATTTTCTTTACAACACGATTTACATAATAAGTGTACGTCTGAATACGATAAATCGTGTAATTATTGTTCATTTAATCCATAGTCCTATTTTCGCTATGAATTCATCATACTTGCTTAAAGCAATACAGACAGCCGTTTGTATTGTTGAATACGTCTCTGTTTTTAAAATAAAAGCAATCACTTACTGAGAAATCATCCTTTTTTTCTTACAAAATTAATATAAAAAAAAATAAAGTAAACGATAATATACTAATTAACAAAATCGTTACTAAACACATGATTATAATGAGGCAAGCATGTACTAATTTCTGATAACAAACCATTTTACGAACAACCTTTGTTATGTTTAGTGCTATTGGTTTATTGTAAATGTGATTGAATTCCGATTTGAATTATTAATTTGATTTAGAAACTGATTTGTGTTTGATTAACATTTAAAATGAGCTAATTAACCCTAAATGTGTGTTTAACATGGCCGACCAAAAACCCCTGTTAAATTATTGTTTTTACAACAAAAACTAAAAGTGTTTCTTATCTTACCCCTATTTGCTTGAATTGAAAAGACACAAATGTGAATGATGGCGGCCTGTTATCCTTCCAAAATCAGAATGTGCATGAACTGGATGATTTAGCTGGAAATTTTCCCATTGTTCGCCTTAATTTAAAACAATGTGTTGCTTTATGAAACCATATATCGAAGAAAACCAGGCAATTTATTATTGTTGCATGATATTTTTATTGACTTATAAATTAATCGTCAAAATTATTCACGATTTCATAATTTGTCGCGTTATTTAAAACGATTTATTATAAAGGCGACTAACAACAAAGCGGCTAAATGCCTTGTCAGGCATTTTGTCGAAAAAAATAAATCGCAGTAATAAGAAATAAAGCAGTTTCCCGCTAAAAGATATATCGCCATCTTGGATTATAAGTATTAAAACGTGGGTAATATACGCTTCCGTTTAATAGAGGAGGCTGTATATATTAAAAAAATGTATCCCCTTTGTACTCATTGCAAAGTAAAATGCTTGAATATTTAGAACTTATCAATCAATTTGACTAATAATTAGCAGGATAATAGATCTAAGTAACAATTTGTAAAAGTAAACCATTCTAGGTCAAAGTACAGCCTTCAACACGAAGCAATGGCTGACACCAAACAGCAAGCTATAAAGGGTCTCAAAAATGATAAACATGATAATACATGTATATATATTACAAAGGAAATTGAGTAAATTGAAATTATAACCGAAGAAAATAAATAATAAACCCTGCTAATGTAGCTATAGCGGAATATAAATATACTTCCAAACAGTCGTACAACTATGCCCAAGAATTTGCATCAAAATGATGTTGGATGGAAAATCAGCTTATCACCAACACCACTTAGAAAACACAAAATTTTCAAATAAATTTGTAACTCCAATTATAAGTTTGTTAGTTGATGAATACCACATGTTTTGTTTTCTTGATAATTGGTGGTAGTTGTTGCATGAATGAATTAATAGTACAATGTAAATACAAATGTGAATATTTAGTTAATTACAAATGTAAACATGTAATAAAAATTAAAACTTATAGGTAGACAAATAAAAATTTCATTCTTTTTCATGTGTAGGGAAATATAACATCACAAACTTTCCTTCATCCTTTTTAATATTTAATTTCCATGAGTAGTTATTATAAAATGTTAAAATAATCAAAATTTCAATTAATTTCATTGTTCCTGTTCTGGAATGGTAATATCAGAAACTGGACATTTTCTGTATTATCATCTCTACTGTTATTACAAACTCAGTTTTTTTGTTTTAAACATCTGTTTGTTAAGTATTATTATCTGACCCTTTATCAGCATCAGGTGACAGATTTACAGCTCTAGTTAACCATTTTATAATTGAGAGAAGATATGAAAATTACACTCTGTAGGGTTTGGATGCAAGACTGCAAAGTAAGCCCTCGCTTAAAGATTGTGTAAGGTTGGTTAGATTCAAAGAAGCTACCCTTTGCAATTAATGTATAAAATGAAGATGTTTTTTTTTTATAAAACTATGTTCTCTCTTCATACAAATTATCAAAGAGCCTTTACCATATTCTGAGATTAAAAAAAAGGATTTCTTACATCAAAATTTAAAAAAAATGTTTCTTCCTTAATTATTCAGTTTACAGCAGAAAATCATTTTGTCTATTTGACTCGATATTTTTACATTTGTATGTCATTATTTTTGCTCTTATCTACTTAATCAAAATTTAAAAACATGTGGCCTTTGAACTAGAATATGCCTATAACATATCTAATTTCTTGTTAAATTGCATACTAATTCATATGCATATATTTATTTTATGATTCGGCCTTGTATAATGTTTCTTTTCTTAACTCAATCACAACAGAAATTTAATGACAGACGGACATATATACAAAACTTAATGAAACATTGAAATCAAGATATTTGCGTTGTAAAAAAAAATGTGTGGCGCTAATACGATTCCGTAAAAAATAGCGCATCTTAATAACAATTTATTTTTCTTCATTCTGTCTGTCGCACAATCGTATAAAAAGAACTTCATTATATTTTGGTTGATTCATAAAATGATAAGATATGAAATAAAAAAAGTCACCAGACTTGCATGAAATTAATTTGATTTAATTTTAAAGTTGACGATTCAAACTGTTCTATTTTAAAAGCCTGGTTGGAGTTTATTGCCTGTGGTATAAATAATTTGCAATCAAACTTATATTGAATATGATAGCAAATGACTAAACATTGTAATTGGTTTTCACAAACGGTTTTAGTTCTAGTTAAAAAAGAATTAAGCTTACGGTTTTGAACAATTTTCAAACTGGCTACTAAAACAATTAATCACTATTCCATCAGAACAAAAACTGTTGGAAAGAGTTTGACATATGCCAAACCCACGGAATAAACTTTGATATGTCATTGTGTTCATTTAGTGTGGTGGGGTGCCATATGGAACTCTTGCCGGAGCATCCAGTGGTTGCCTCCTATTTCGCATGTTGTAGTGTTATCTTTCGGTTTTGGTTTCGTTAACAAGAATAGTATGCCGCACATTGAATAGCAGTTACATTTAGAATCAATGTCAGTTTTCTACATCTTATATAGAAATGAGGTAAAATCATGCATCTTTTTGTAACAATTATCTAATCTTTCAAACTAAACAACATGCATTTGTGTTGACGATTGCAGTTCTCTTTTTTAGTAAACAAACTGTTGATAATTATATATCGGTCGACCGTGCACGTTGTATTAGCCTTGAACATGATATCAATGGGAATGCCTGCGAGAGGAAATAGGTCATAGTTATATAAAAGTCAAAATCAACACACAGACATTGAGATACACACTGGAAAGAAGCTGAGGTAAGATAATTAACCATTTCAGATATTGTATTTGTTAAATTATCCTTTTTAAATAAAGTTTGAAGGACATTCACTTTTTAGTTTAATTGTTTACATGCTCTTTGATATTAATGTAAATAGGATGATGTATAAAATACACAATGCAATACACATGTTAAACAAAATCCATTTGCTATCCGTTTTTAGAAATTTAAAACGAAACAAAAAATTAAAGAGTTTACACTTTTAAAGATCGGTTTTAAAAGAATGATCGATGTTTATTGTCATGTAGACGGGATATAGCTCCGTGTATATTTGCGTCCATTCGTTTTTTCATTTTGAAATATCAAAAACAAAAAAACAAAAAACGAGAGTGTTTTCATTTTTTCGTTTTTGATTTCTCAAAAACCAAAATGAAAAACAAAAGTGTTTTCGTTTTTCGTTTTTGATTTCTCTAAAACCAAAACGGAAAACGAAAGTGTTTTCATTTTTTGTGTTTGATTTCTCTAAATCCAAAATGAAAATCAAAAAGTGTTTCCGTTTTTCGTTTTTGAATTCACTAAAGAAGAGTTTTGTATTTAATTTTAATTATTTCTCGTTTTATAATGTACAATGTTTTTATTTCTTGTTTCACAGTCATTGATAGTAAATATTGCCAATGTAAACACCCCGGTGTTCTTTCAGCAAAATGTAGACAAAATAGACCGCCTGACTTCTGAATTGATCTACGGTGATAAATGAATCAAAGACTTTCAAATTACCTTGTTATCATCTTTGATAAAAAATAAATTATTATATTTAAATATTAAACGAATCACAAATCTAAATTGTACAATATAATATTATATAAAGATGGTACAAATAAATAGATTAATTTCAACATCACACTAACAAGGGTGGTTACTACTTTTAAAACTGATAAGAAAACTAACCCGGTCGTTAAGAAGTATACATTCACAGCGGTTATCAAATCGAAGATAATGTCGACGGATGCAAAACACTCAATCTGAAAAATAAGTGTGCGTGATCTTTACTTTAAGTTTAGAAAGGCCGATCTAAGATGATTAGAATTGATGACCAAGGTCCATCTGCCAGTATTATACGAACATTCAGGACGATAATGTGCTTTCCTTGATTAATTGATTAAAAAACAAATTTCCGCAATTTCACAATTCAAACCGGGATTAGCATTTAATCTTTTTGCCATTCGGAGCCAATTCGGTATTAGTTTTGCTTATTTGCATTGTGAAGGCTATATGATGACCTGAACTAGAGGGCCTGGATGGGGGTCTACGGAATAGAGAATAGTGGGCAAAAATATGAATAATAGAGACAATGGCCCAAGAAATAAATAAAATAGAATAATGGTGTTAAAATATGAAGAGAAAAGATTTACGATTGGCAAAAAGTATTAGAAATAGAGAAAAATGGCCTCAAATATCAAAGAATACAGAAATGAAGAACCCCACATCCAGACCATCATACTAGTTGCCTTAACCAACGTTATTTTGTCTCTGGTAGATTGTTTTGGTTATCATACGTTTTCTCTTCATTTCTTTGTCTATCAATTAAGGCGTAAGCTTTCATAATATGCCAGCATATTACATATTACATTATAAAAAAAGACTTAGCCGAACATCACCATCAAGTAGACCTCAGCTACCCATCTTACCCCACCATTACCGAAAAGTTAATAAACAAATGTCTACGGCAATACTTTTGTCCGCACTATGTGCAAAGGGAATTCGAAGCTCGGTAGCTGAGGTCTACTGGAATGAATCCAGCTTGTTGTTCAGGCTTAGTTTTTTTTAAGTAGGTCCAAAGTTGGGGTCGGACATCCAACCCCACCCTTACCGAAAATTTAATGAAAAAAAATTCTACGGCAATACTTTTGTCCGCAATTGGTGCAAAAGGAAGCTGGGTAGCTGAGGTCTAAATTAGAAAAAATCCAGGGTGTTGTTCGGCTTAGTTTTTTTTCTAAAGTAGGTCCAAAAGTTGAGGTCGGATACCCTACCCAACCCTTATCGAACAGTTAATAAAAAAATTCAGCGGCAATACTTTTGTCCGCACTAGATGCAAAGGTAAACTAGAGATCTAGGGCCTACTTGATCAAAATTACAAGTTTGGGTATAGCACGGATCATTTTTTTAAGCTGATAAATAATTTCCTTGCCCACCATACTTTGAATACAAAAAATAAACCTTTAGTCCAATCATAAGTAAGCGAAATCCACTGGTTCAGAAGTAGAATGTTTTGTCAAAACAGTTTTGTGTGGCAAAAAAAAGTTAAAGCACGAGTGCAATTTTCTTTTATTCCCTCCTAGTGAAGAACAATTGTTACATTTCATGAACTATTTGATAGGATGCCGAAAATATGGAAAGCTATTTCATTTAGTGCAATTTAGCCAACATTTAAATAATTTCATATTTACGATTCCATATACACTCGACTATTTAAAATGTAAAGAGTGCAGCACGCTGTGTGATATATTTAAAGCGATTTCTATTGCCTTTATATAATTAATGAACAAGAAATGAAATTTAAAAATTCATTGAATAGTGTCTTTGACTGCTTAATTATGTATTAAAAACTGATGATATAGTGGTTATATCTTAATAAAAACATTTGAAGTACGTTTGAATCTTATGCAACATTTGGATTTATATAAATATCTGAAAACTGGCTGTTAGCTAAGTGGCTGCTATCGAGTGGCTGCTTGCTTGAGCCTGGTCTTACAAACTCCGCATTTTCATTAACGTCTTCACATTACAGGTTGCAACACCTTGCCAAATTATTGGGTTCCAATAAACGTTTTGAAGGCCAAATAAGTTTTCATATTTCACATTCTTGCGGATCTAGTTGTAATCAGACGGTCATTGCTGAGTTCCAAGAAGTTTACAAATTAATTTAGTACGAAGTCAAAAATTAATGTAAAGTTTCATTGGTGAAATTAATTATGACGGCAATACAAATAATTATTATTATAACAACAACAAACAAAGGATTCTCTAATGATCATGACTTTTGTTTGAAGTAACATGAGCAAATCCCTTTACAATCAATCAATCAATCAATCAATCAACCAATCAATCAGTCAATCAATCAATCAATCAATCAATCAATATATCAATCAACAAATCAATTAATCATTTAATCAAGCAATAAAATTGAGAATGGAAATAAAGAATGTGTCAAAGAGACAACAACCCAACCAAAGAACAGAAAACAGCCGAAGGCAACCGATTGGTCTTCAACACAACGAGAAAATTCCGCATCCAGAGGCGGGCTTCAGCTGGCCCTTAAATAAAAATGTATACTAGTTCAGTGATAATGGACGTCACACTAAAATAAAATTAAAAAAAAAAACATATAAGACTAACAAAGGTGAGAGTCTCCTGATTTTGGACAGGCGCAAAAATGCGGCTGGCTTAAACAGGTTTTGTGAGATCTAAACCCTCCCACTATACCACTATAGCTAGCCAATATAGAATAAACAAACACACAACAATACGCACAGTTAAACTCAGTTTAAAAGAAGTCCGAGTCTGATGTCAGAATAAGTAACAAAAGCAACTAAGCAAAATGACAATGATTCTTAAGTTAAGAAAGAAATACTAACAGTAAATGACATGCCAGCTCCAGACCTCAATTAAACCGATCGAAAGACAATAAAGATATAAGAAGATGTGGTATGAGTGCCAATGAGACAACTGTCCATCCAAGTCACAATTTGTAAAAGTAAACCATTATAGGTCAAAGTACGGTCTTCAACACGGAGCATTGGCTCATACCGAACAGCAAGCTATGAAGGGCCCCAAAAATGACTAATGTAAAACCATTTAAACGGGAAAACCAACGGTTTAATCTATATAAAAAAAGAGAAACGAGAAACAAATATGAATCACATCAACAAACGACAACTACTGAACATCAGATGTCTTCATCATATGAATATCAAGCACTATCCCTACCATGAGGGGTTTAGTATCATACCATCATAAAATATATGAGGAGAAAATAACCCGTATCATGCTAACAACTGGTTTTAGAATTAATGTGTTTATTTCCGATACAAATACCCTATAAGTGAATCAACATTAATACCAAAATATGCCATCTTTAATGAGCCTCTTCGTGGGGTTTTTGTTTATGTGATTACTTGGCTGTTTTTTAGTGATTATTTAATTACTAGACCAAATATTTCATGATTATTTGATTATCTAGGACTGTATTTTTGATAAATTGATTACCAAGTTTTTTAAAAAAAATGTGTGTATAGCAAAAATATCAATTTTGACTTGAAAGACGTCAATTTGTTTTCGCCTCGCATCGCTCGGAAAAATTGTCAAGAATTAAATCCTAAGATTGAACGTGTTCGTCCAACAATCTTTTTAAAATTCATATCTATATTAACGTGCTCATACATATATTAAGTATAACGAAATCAGAGATGTATCTTTTAATAAGATTGGTTCGTCTAATTTACTAATGTTATATTTTTATCTGAAGTAAATTTACTAACTTCTTTAATAAAGGATTTGAACAAGAATGTGTCCATAGTACATGAATGACCGTGAAATTGGGGTCAGAATTCTAATTTTGCATTAAGATTACAAAATCTTTTGTATTTCTTAGGAAAGTTCCATTTTGTAACAAGGAAGCAAAAGAAGTTAAGTAATCATATGCTGGCAAATTATGAAAGCTCACGTGTTAATTGATAGGCATAGAAATAATGAAAAAACGTATGATAACCAATAACAATCTACCAGAGACAAAATAACGTTGCTTTAAGCAACTAGTATGGTGGTCATGAAGCGGGGATTTTCATTTCTGTATTCCTTAATATTTTAGGTCATTTTTCTCTGTATTCTCGTTAATGTTGTAGGCCATTTTCGCTATTCTTTATACTTTTTGCCAATTATTCTCTTTATATTTTAACACCTCATTATTCTGTTTTATTTATTTTTTGGTCCATAGTCTCTACTATTTATATTTTTCCCCGCTATTCTCTATTCCTTAAA